TTGTGCCTGGCATCAGAGAACGTATTGTAGATGAAGTTGGAAGTGACCTCTGGAGCTCAGCTAGTCCACCCCACTAATGCTTAGAACAGGTCCAGATGAGTTGCTTAGGAACTTGGCTAGCTGGGGTTATGTAGATTTGTGGGGTTCCCTGGAAATGTCTCCTTCACCATCTCTGTTGGAGATTACTGCACTTGTTTGTGTGAAGTCAGCTGTTTGTCTGACTGCACTCTAAACTGGACGTGAGAAACAAACAGACTTTTTTTTTTATGGCTTTTAAACCCCAGATAATGTCACAGATACTTGTAAGTAACCGTAACAAGTAAGGTGGTACAAGAGATGAAGCTGTAACCTAAAAGGGGTTGAAAAGAAACAAGCAACAAAGAAAGAGTTCTCTTAAAACGAGCTGTTTCCACCGTGGAACTGTATTCACTATCCTCTTTGATGCGGACAAGTAGGGTAGTATGTCATGGTGCCAGTGAGACTCATTGTGATTGAGCTTGGCGTGTGTGTTACTTTTTCAGGCCATTTATGCAAGTGTTCTCCCAGGGGAGCTGATGAGAGGTTACATGTCCCAGTTTCCTGTCTTTCCCAGTTGGCTGGGGAAATTTTCATCCACAGGCAAACACGATCGTATCGTTCAAGAACTGGCAATGCACATGAGCCTCAGGTACTTACTGACATTCCTCTTCTGGTTCATATCAATACGGGTATTTAGTTCTCATGTAATTTATTGCTGATCGTTAATTCCTTGCTGTGCTTGATGCAAACTTAAGTGTATATTCTATGAATATGCTTGTATGTTGGTGACGCTTTCTTAATCTGGACAACAATCGCAGTGCAAACACTTCTAGTATAGTCAGCAGTACTGAGACTTCCCCCCCGCTCCAAAGTTGTTTCTCAGTTAGGGGTGTGTTTCCCCAGCTTGTTTGGTGATTGAATACCTTGCATCGGCTATCCCTAATGCAGGCATGGCAAAAGGAATGGCACAGCACAACTTGCAGTTAACTCCTAAGGCAGCCGATTAGCCATTTGCTCAGGGCCTTACCTACAGGTTGCTTGTGTTTAGGAGTGAGTGGTGGTGGCTGTAGATTTACTCACTGGTTTCAATTTGACAAAGAACCCAGACGTGCAAGAGGACAGTAAATATGGAGTATCTGTCATATTTACGGGATGCGCTTGTCCAGCCCTTGAAAGACTTTGGAGCAGATGGTGTACAGGAAGCTATAACGTTGATGGACTCTTACTGCTTGATGAAAGAAGATATTGAAAATATCATGGAAATAAGCACGTGGGGAGGGAAACCCAGTCCTTTTTCAAAGCTGGATCCCAAGGTAAAATTCACTAGTTATTTTTTTCCCTTTTCTTCCATATCTTTAAAAAGAAATCCTAGAGTAATAGCTGTGGTATGGATGTGCTGCCGAAAGGCTGAAGTTGGTGCAGCTGATTATTAACTGTAATTTAGTTAATGCTAGCCTCTGTAAATCAGCTGTCAGACATACTATTAAAGGTTCAGGGGTACGTCCTAAAAGATAGTTGGGCTGTGCTTCATTCAGAAGCCTTACACCTGTTGTTGCTGGTGTCCGGGAGCCAGCTGCGTTGGGGACATAGAAGTGGGCACCCCATAGAAGGGATGGGGAAAGCCAGTACCTTTCCACGAGCAAGCTCCTGGCTATAACCTGTATCATCTTCACGTGTGGCACTGCCTTTCCTTTATTGTGCCCAGGAGGGAGACACAACCGTATTTGTTACAGTGTGGGCACTGAATTAAGAGGCCGGCTTGCCGTTTGTGTCTTCTGCAGTCTGGTTAAACTGAACTGCCAGACCTGGGGGCACACTCTGTCATGGTCCCGCAGAATCCAGCTAGTCCACCTCTGTGGTTGGGACCTTCATCTGGTACAATGTGAGCTTAAGTCCCTGCTACAAACCATGCAGGTGTGAGATCTGAACCATGATCTCCCCCATCTCAGGTTGGGTGCTCAAGGAAAGAGAAGGATCTTCTCTGCTGATACCTAAACCTACACTACTACCAGGTGTTTACACTTTGTCTGAATAAGCTGCTCTGGTGTGGCAGGTGTCCAGTGCTGCTGAGGGTGGCTTTTTGGTCTAAGTGACTTGGAGTAGGTGGCAGCAGAACCACAGTGCTGAAATTATTGGAGGCCTGAGCAAGAAGCACCTGAAGATGCACACTCTACCTGAGGATTGTGTGGGACTTGCTTAAAATGAGCCTTCACCATACAGCTCTTACATGCCTTCTGTGTCCTATATATCTTTGGTCACATCTTCCCAAAGGAAAGATGATGTGGAATCTCTAGCCAAGAGTTGGCTAGCTAACAATCTACAGTTCCTAAGCTGATGCTCATAGTGTTTCTTTCTAACCTAACAGGTCAAAGCAGCTTTTACACGTGCCTACAACAAAGAGGCACATCTGACTCCATATTCACTTAATTCTGTCAAGACATCTAAAAGGCAGTCAGGATCTGCGGTGACCTTAGAACTGAATGAAGACTTGAATGCGGAAGAGATCCAATCTGATGAAGATGGGCAAGATACTGTTGAAAATGATGCAATGATTAAGGTGACTTAGTTTCCTCAGTGTTAAACTACCACACTAGACTGTTTTCTTGTTTTCTAGTTACCTTTCTGGGACTTGTAACATCATCTGAATGGAAAAAAATAATCACAGTCAATATTGAATGCTCCTCATCTCTCAACTTTTAAATTCTTAACTAGCAGTAATGTGAAAAAGTCCAAGTTATTTCTGTGTACTGCCTGCTGCTTGAGTGTTGGACCTGAGTGAGACATCACTGTGAACTCATGAATACTGCATCTAATTCCGAAACTTAGTAATGTTTTAGGTGTTGGTGGGGGATGGTGCCATTGGTAAGGAGCAGCCAATTTGTGTGTCGTTATTGCAGGTGACAATTTTGCTAATAACCTTTGTATGTAGTGCCAAATCGGGGTCAGCCCTTAAGACTGAATATTGTAGAGTCTGTACTCTCCACAGCATTTAAAAACTTCATCCCTGAAAGTGGAGGGTAAAAGAAGAGGTGGCTTGTTCTTTTAATGCTTACAGCATTTTGACTTATGCTTTTGTCAGGTTGCAGTTGGATTTTTAAACTGTCTGCATATTCTGTTTGCAGCAAAAAAAGGCAAAGTCTTCCAAGCTGCCGAAAAGAGAGAAAAATGAAGAAACAACAAAAAAAGAAGGGAAGAGAAAAGAGAAAACAAGACATCAAACAGAATAAAACCTTGCTGTGGATGCAGCTTTGCTTATCTAACTTCTGGCAGGAACAGGAAACGGATCCAGTGCTGGAGCTGGGAAAGCAGAACCAGTGAGTTGAAAATGCTCCTCTTATAGAGGTGATGTAGCTGCTGTACTCTCACACTATGCCGTGCTGTACTTACTCTTAACGTGCTACAACGTTACTAGCTATAAGTACCCTTGTGCAACAAACACTGGGGTGCATGAATATGATGAAAATGCAATGCTTAGTTACCTGGCATTTATGCTAAGTCTTCCTAGGACCTCACTTTTTTTTCTAATAAATCCCCTGATATTATGTGGTCAACTCTTGTAAATAGTACATGATGCAAAAAGCCCCCCAAACCTAAACTGCATATTTGTACATTGTAGAAATTAAGCAGTGTATAAAATTCCAATAAAACGTTTCACAGGAGTCTTTTAAAGTTTTGTTAAGTTCACAGAGTGTTCTGTCTCTCTCCCCCTCTCTTTCCTTCTAAGGTTTTGGCTTTCCTGCATGCACAGGATGTGGTGGTACTATTTTCCTACACCTTCTCTTTTGTTCAGTTAGAGACACAGGAAAGCAGTGAGGGATTTAGTTCCAAAACCTGAGGAGCCCATGCTTGTATGAGCCGGATCTTTAATCAAAACCAGAAAGGAATACTTTAAAGTTTAATAGAAAATAGTCATAAAAGTTCAGAACTGATGCTAAAAAAGAGAACACTGGGGGAGGGGGGGTTTGGCACTCCCCTTGGTTTGTCTTTGGTGCAGATAAAATGCAAATTTTGCTTGGGAAGAGGAGTTATCAGTTTTATTACTATAATAAATCAAAGTACAAAATTTATCAAAAGCTAAATATTTACAGGCTATCACAAAATAGAAGTGACATGGTGGTGGTTATGAAATCAGCGGGAAAAGATGTATAATGTAGTGATGGAGCTTTCTTTGCTGCTTGCTAGACAACACCTGCAGTTCTGAAAATAAACAGAGGTGGTTAGTCATAGCCCAGGATATAAAGACTGTGATAGCAAACTACATGGTTTTCTCACAGTGGAAAAAAATAATTAACAAAAATAATGTCACTTGTGTGTTACTTTGACCTATAGCTAAGTTTTCACATAAGGTTTCTGCACTAGTAAATGTGCCTTCAGATGTCAAAAGGAAGAACTTTAACTTGTTGTTAGTTACCATTCCTTTAACAAAACCGAAGTCTTGGATCTAAGCGTGTGGTATAGACAGAGCAGTGGTCTTGGAAATACCAGTATCCAAAGCCAATACTATGTTGTTGTTACCCTGTGATAGATTCTTATATTCTGTTAAGCATTAGAAGCTAAGACCATGTAACCTGCATTTTAGATCTGCTCCTTCCAGGGAGCATTTCTCTCTCTTCCTACACTTAAACACTTGTTGGTAGATCTGTAGAAAGATTTGATGATGTGGATTTGACATCTGCAAACTGTTTTCTGTGCAACTGAAGCACAACTGGTGTTCGGGAACATGTTCCCAACCAGAATGTATTGCAGATGATAACATCATCATAGAGGTGAACTGGTTTAAAGCCTCATTTAGCAACCAGGTTAGTTGTAGTAGCAAAACCAACTGGTGTTTACGTGCCTGAGGGCAGAGAGGGGACAGAGCTGGGCCTTGGTTATCTGAGGCCCAGGCTGTAGGTTAGATTCTTGAACACTGCGTTGCCCTTGCAGTGAAAAACTCCCACTGTCCTCCAGTAAAAAGTTCAGGCTCCAGCACATACCTGAATTTATTGGTCTCCATCTTCTGGTTTGAGGTACTGTGTGCAATCATTTATTTTCTTAAGATGAGCAATGTTAATCCGTTCAGAACACATTGGACATATGTTTTCAGTCTGTAACATGCTGTTTTAAAGGAAGGGTGATTGGTCAAAGGATAATTCTAATATTTTTCAAAGGAACAGCTGAGCAGAAAGCATTGAGCAAAGTTCTGACCTATGCTACATAACAACACAGGTCAGAGCATCAGCTGCTCCTGTCTAGGCAGAGCGAAGGTTGGTTAGTTTGGGACCTAACATCACAACAGGAAGGGTGCAGGAAAATTGGGCAATTAACACACATGCAAAGGAGGTTGGGCTAGAACATGAAGCCTGTACACCTTCAGCTATCTGAACAGAGCTACCCCTTCCCATTATTGCACAGAGGATTAGTGGGGAGAAGAGATTATTGCTGCCTCAATCTGTACCCAACACTGGGGGTATTTTCTTTGTTTTGGTGACTGCTGCTGTGCCTGTGTTTCCTGTAGTCCATATCAGGTCTTCTCCCTGGATCCATCTTCATGATGGTTCCTGTGATTGGAGCCCTGCATCTCTGACTGAGTTCTTTCTTTATCCTAGTTTTTGGTCCACTTTGAAGCAATGTTCTGTATGTTAGATGAAACTTCCAAGTAAGGCAGATTCCTCTTCCACCCTCTGCCCCACCCTGGGCTGTTAATGTTTTTAGTACCAAATGAAACACTTTGCTGCTAAAATATGAACAAAGATTGGAATCTTGCAACAGAACAGAAAAATTCCAACGTACTTCTTGAATTCTGAATAGAGGGCAGGGAAGTCACAGTGTGGGCAGACTGTCCAGTCATCCTGAACCATATGCCGACCCTGCAGGCAAAAGTCACAGGTAATTAAAGGGCATGTGCTGTCCTAGCACACTGGGTGTTTGGTTTTGTACCTGTTCTTGTGGAAAAGTCTCAGCAGCTGAGTTCTAAAGATTTTTGAATTAAAAAAAAGCAAAACGATAATAGTGTTACTATAACAACTACAAAAGGAGCTCTCAGTGAGAGGCAGTGTTCTTGTTATAATTCCCATTCCTCTTTTAAAGAAGGAAATCTAAGACTGTATTGACTTACCATTTTTAAAATGCTTTTAGTTTGTCAATTCTAGAATGTTACCTGTGGACTGATGTCTCAAGATGTACATAAATCTGCTGGGACTTTTGCTGTTGCTTATGACATTCAAAAAATGTCCCTAAAGCCACATCACCTGACCCCAGAGGAGGTCACATTCAATGCTGTCAAGTTTGTGAGCATAATGACTACCTTGCACTTGCCTCTGTAAACAGAAATTAGTTCCTCTCTCTGGGTATGGTTCACTAATTTGCTTTTGATACAAATAATTCATATGTAACTTTTCACTACCATGAAACACAACAGCACCTTGAACTACATGGAGAGATTTATGTTCTAATAGGAAAGATTTATGTTCTAATATGATGTGCAAGAGTAGGCTTTTGATATTGACTCTCGTAAGATACTTAAA